CAAATTTATGTGCTTTACATATATGTAAGACTACCGAAGGTCCGTAGAATGTACAAAATGTTATAAAAAATTACTGTGAACTTACGTAGTTTTTTACATAGTGATTTCATAAAAAAAAGTTCGTGATGCTTGGTACAATTCAAACCTATTTGTTTGGTTTTAAATAACATTACAAATTAACCATTACAATATTTTATCATGTTGCATTTTACAGTAGATGATGAATATTCGGGATTCTTTTATTTAAGGGATGCATTTTTTTTTCAGAGAGTTGACTATAGTTTCAAAGTTAAAAACGTTCGTAATACCCTAGAATGTGAAAATTTTCCGTGATAACTTACAATGAATTCAAATTTAAGGCACAAACTTCTCATTTGTATTTAGGGACAAACTTAAGGCTTTCAACTACAGAACTAGAAACAGTTACGACTTATCCCGTTGTTATTTATGTTATTAATTACGGCATAAGGCGTAACATATCTCTACTTTTGAACCAAATAATAGATTCAAGTTTATACTTGGATATGTAGTATGTATGAGATGTACGATTTTATTAATCCGAAACGCTACGCCTTGTAAATCTGAAACTAGTTTCATCATAAAGTTAAAGTTTAGTACAAAATACTATTATAGAAATAAAATTAGTGTTACCATTGTTGGAGTGCATGCGCTTCGATGGTGAATATGAGATGATTTTCAAGTTCGTTTGAACTAAATGTTTACAGGGTTGTCTGTTTCATTCATTGTTGTCTATTTTACTTCCTGTGGGATTTTAGAGCCTTCCAGTGGAACTTTCTGAAAACTCCAATGGTGCTACCAATTTCGACTTCCAATGACATTCACAGAATAGATCATTTATACATAGATTAGTCTCGATTATTACTAACGATAATTTGAAACTAATGAAAGTAATAATTTTATAATCTGCACTTAGATGTTCATTAAACGATGGAAACCTTTCATGACATTTTTACGAAAAATTTAGAGGCAAGGTTTTTTTATATACGCTATTTAAAAGCTTTACCTTGTTTAGTTATATCAACTTGATAAAAAAAAAAAGCATATTAAACATAAATGGACTTATACAGTATATTATAGGTTTGCTCAATTATTTTAAAACATTTTGTGTCATCTCTATTTATTGACCTAAAGAACAACCGTTAAAGTAATTTTCAAATAAAAAAGATTGCTAATAACATACACTCGTGTATGGGAAGATGATTTTGCTACTAAATACAAATTAATTCTAACACATTCATTTTAGAAATATTTAAAAATTTATAAAAACTTCTAAATAACAAACCTTTTGCCTTCGATTTAATTTTTATTTAATAAAATATTACATCAAAGAAAAATAAAAAAAAAAAACAGTGTGAATGAAGTTATTTTATTGAGAAAAATAATTGTTCTTGTTTAAATGAATTAATGATTATGACTCAATGACTCAATAGAAATTTATATAAATATTTGAATCATTTACTAACTATTTTGTCGACATCGAGTTTATCCAAACAATCTAAATATTCTTTGTATCCTCTGAAAAATAATTCTTGAGTTTCAGTTCCATACCAAACTGGAACAAGACCAAAATGTGAAATGGATTTTATTTCCCAAACATCCCATTTTCCTGGTTCATATTTTAAATTATTTTTTACTATTTCATCATCGATAAGATTTGGAAGTCCTTTATGATGTTTACACATTTCATCATTGCATTCAAATCCACCGGGATGCATTTGTGAAATTTTTGGACATACTCCATCATTTTCGTACCAATTAGGTAATTCTTTTTCTGGATCTATAGGAAATTGGTTGGTGTTGGGTGAAAATTTAAAGCTACCTATTTGGCAAGATAAAAAGTAAATTGGAAGTGGGAACAGGAGCGAAAATTGTGGTCGATGAAATTTTGTAAGTGGATCTTGGCTCGTCTATTCAAAATCATAATAATAATAATATTAATATTAATATTAATAATTACAGTGCAAAAATTTAAATGTATAACATAATCTTTACTTACGATAGATGTAGCATAAGTTCTATAATATGTATTTTTAAAGGTACGACTGTTCTTATTTAAATCATTCATTGCATGAATTGTCATATCATAAGGTGCGTTATCTTCATAAGATACCCAAGGACTTTTGATTAAACATTGTAATAGACCATATGTTTTTTCTTTCTCCAATTTTTGGCATTCAGGGTCACCTGAAGTATTTGAATTATTTGAAATATTTGAAATATTTGAAATATTTGAAATATTTGAAATATTTGAAATATTTGAAATATTTGAAATATTTGAAATATTT